CCTGCAGGTGGGGCGTACCGGTCGGCATGGTAACCCATCTGGGCACACCCCTGGCTGCCACAGTCCATACAGTGGCCATCTTGGAACCTGCAAAGTAAAACGTAATTTGGTGACGTCTCAGGGAGGAACCTAATGGTACATAATTGTGTGCAGTTTGCAAGAATTCTAGGAATGGTGCAGGAATTATGTCCACAGGAATGGAATGTCCACAGGCATGTCTCTGACCCACATCTACGCCCAAATTCCTGGCAAACCTTGGGAACACCTTTCTGCCTCGGATGGCCCTTCTTTCTGTGACCCCGGGGCTCGTCCACTATACACTCAGGGGAGGAGTGCACTGTATCTGTCTAGACTTAACAGGTACCAAGTCTTCCTCAAAATCATGAAATGATGGCAGTGCCATGCAAACAATAACCCTAACAGCAACCACCGTCGCCATGGCAATGTATGTTTTCATTGCCAGTCTTCTTGCAGATACATGTATTTTTTAAAAATTTTTTTGGCGACGCCTCAGGAGCTATAATAAATAGTAAGTAGTCTGAGGGAATTCTAACAATTTCAAAGGAATTTCTGCAATATTCATGCATGAGTAGTGAACAAGATGTTACCCAAAGTAGGTTCAGGGAGAATTGGCTGTGTATACCGAGTATCTGTATCGTGGTTACACCGGTTATAATTTAGTTGCAACAGTTGTTGTAATATCTAACGCATTCTGTTTACAGTTTTATAAAAGTATAAACTTATAGAATAGAATGGTTTATTAATCGATACAAACTCATCGCAGCTCATGAGCTGAATTGCGAGTTCACATGTACATTTCCACAAGTTCACATATACAATAGGTCTAAAAGTTTGCAAACGGCGAACAGATGACAATACATATTTGAAAGATGCAAAACATATCTAAAAGACGCAGTGCATATTCAAAAGATACAATTCATATTTAAAAGATACCAATTAATTATCAAAGATATCAAATAATAATCTAAATGCCACAATAATCTAAATGCCATCGTTTAAAAGGTTAACAATATACGGTAGAGGGCTATTTTGGTAGCGTTTAGTACGTGCTGGCAATGGGTCATATTTGTGACTGTGTCTGGCAACCCTCCCGCTGACTTTCCCCTTTGTTGAGGTAATCTTTGTTTGTAAGTGTAAAACTTGTACAATATATATGTGTCATGCATGATACGAAGAGGAACTTGGCGGATGATAGGATATACCGTACAGACCTGTCGTTATCACGGCATGGATACCCCATCATAGGGCACGTGGTACCGATGGAATCGTCAAAGTACTCGATCGCCTTCAAGTGGTTACAGGCGACAAACTCTCGGCCCCCTGAAATCAAACACTGAGTCTCAAAATAATTCGCATAAAAACTATTCAATCATTAGATTGTCAAAATTTTCCAGGTATAGTAGAAAACACTTTGGATGAAATCTACAGAAGGTATTTTGAAAGTTATGCTACTTCAAAATGTAAGGAGATATTATCTGACCTTCGTAAATCCCACCGTTGAGAGCGATGAAATCAAAGAGACCCTGGTCACATCCGGGCATTTCGATCCCACCGTTAGGGTAAAAATCAAGATGGCCGACGGGGTCATACATCCCGAGACCTAAAAACGGATAAAAACACGAACTATTACAGCTCCTTTCAGATGACTCAAAGCATATAAATTAGATAAAAGAAAGGTACATTGTACCAATACAATGTGAATATGATGTACAAGAAAAATATCTAACTATACAATTTATCGACGAACATGTGTGGCGAACTTAGCATCCCCCCCCCCCCACACCAAAAATGTACCCACCTCTGAGTCAGCTTTTTTTACAATAGCCACTCTCAAGGCCAAAACATCATCGTCTCCAAAATATATATCTCTTTACGTTGAGCATTGCTCTGCAAGCAGAGGTGTAGGACTGATATATTTTTTTAATTACCAAAACCTTAGGATAGCAAAGGGATACTGCCCAGCCAAATTGATACTGTCTTGATGCCACCAAGGCATCTACTTGATTCGTTTAGCACTACGTAAGGTTACTTGCGACCCAGTCTCACCCAAGGATGTGAAGAAGAACCCCCCGTCACTATGGATGACATCGACAAGCTGGGCGTCAGTCGGGTCCAGACGTACGATGGGATCTGTGCCTTGGAAGTACGGCTCCGCTGGGTCCAGTCCTGAACGACGTTAGGAAGAGATTGGAATCATTGTAGGAATAAAGAGAAACCAAACCAAAGAAAATCTTTTTCTTTTCAGGTTTCCTAGAGGAATGTGGGGTTTTCATGGCATCTAGTTCGCAGACATCTGAGAAATGTTTTGGGGTTTTCGGAACTGTGCAGGGGGTTGTGTGGCATTTAATCAGGCATTACGCAACATATACACTTCCTGAATTAATAACACATACCACCCACTTACTCCCAATCGACGCGTGCTGGGTCGCCTTCAAGGCTGATCTCCCTGTCAATTAACCGTCGACATCACCTCCCACCCACCAAGCAACTGAAGCTATGAGGACAGGCAAATACACAAACACGGAACAATACTTTCACACTCGGAATTTTAACATAAAATGGGACAGCAAAAACTAATAGGAATATGATATCACTACCAACCCGTAATTCTGCCAACACCAGGAAGTCTCTCTCCAGCATATCCCATAATATGCGACCCAAGGCTGTGACCAATCAGGTGGAAGGAGTTGAGAGAGGCTCCGGTCTCTTGCTGAAGAGAAGAGGAAAACTTACGTCACAACTACATCAACATCAGCGCCTACTGACAGAGATGTATGTAAGGCCATATATAACATTCTTTTAAAGTATCATTTCCCCAATAAAAAGGCAATAGCATTAGCATTTGCACACACACTACAAACACCATAATGCCTGAGGAAAAATGATACAATACATCACAATTATAGATTTGTTTTTCTGCAAAACCCATAGTGCTCGTGTCTCCTAAAATGCAATAAGATACACAAGAAAACGTCTTTACGCCGATCCTAACCCCGCTCACTTCAACCAAAACGAAGAAATACAAAATAAGATGGACTTACAAAAAGACTTGACGGAAATGTACATGCAGCCACTCTCTAAATGGATCGAACTGTTATTTGTTGAACTAATTGCTAATTGTAATGGGCCGTCAGGATGATTCAAAATTTACAAACATCAACCCCATATAAACATAGTAAGTTCTATCATGAAAGTTCATCTGTGTTGGTAGTAATCATAGTAAAACGTTAAACTTTATTCCAACACACAATTTACAGAGATCAAATTTGCGAGACATTGGCGAGACAGAACGCACAATGAAGACCAGATAGATTTCTTGAACACAAACGCCCCAGCTCGCTGTCATCTGAAGTTTCTCAACACATCCACATCGAATCACCTGGCCACACAGTCTCTCTGGACAAAGTTAGAATACTGGACACTGAACAGGACTACTTTCTAAGAGGCATTAAGGAGGCTATATATATCAGAGCACTTCAGCCTTCACATAATAGAGATGGTGGACGATATAAACTCCCTGCCACTTTTGATCAATTGCCTACGTCACGTATCAGTAAAATCTCGTGTGAATAAGGTCACGTGTTTGTAAACCGTTACTCTCGCGGGATCACGTTGTGAAGTGATTGGTCATTAATTATCCTGATGAAGGCGCTGAAAATTTGGTCTCTGTAAATTGTGTGTTGGAATAAAGTTTAGAGTAAGTTCTACTGTTATGAGTACACTCCGTTACCATGAGCAGGTTGATGAACTGCGCGATGGTTGCCCCGACCAGCTGAGTGTTGGCAGTGGCCTGTGTGTACGGCAGCATGGACCCCCCGCCACTGCCCCAGTCCACACCGAACACGTTACAGTCTTCCGCCCGGAGGAACGCCTGCGACATGTCCTGTAAGCACACGTTTGTGTCGGGATCATCACGTTTGAGTAAGCGTTATTTTGTTCGTGTATGAATTATTACCTCCATGAAAAATGGAGGTATTATTTTTGGCGCGTCTGTGTGTGTGTATGTGTGTGTGTGTGTGTGTGTGTGTGTGTGTGTGTGTGTGTGTGTGTGTGTGTGTGTGTTTCCGCACATTTGTAGTCAGCATAACTTCATAACGCCTTTATGGATTGTATTGTGATGATATTTGGTATGCTGGTAGGTCTTAGGAAGCCAAAGGTCAAGGTTAAATATGGGTCTCCTGGAGGCTGACCTTGGTACTGCAGCAGAACGTCCTTGACAAAGACTGGAGTTGTACAGTCGAAAATTTGGGTGAGTCCAATCTGTTGTGTTGGCAATTACAGTTTAAACTTGCTTGATAACCAACCGGCCTTGCTGCCGACCAACTCCTAACCATGGTTGGATGGAGTTCGGCAATGTTCGGGAGACCATATGTATCTCATCTTTGTCTTACCGTGATCCAGCTGACGAAGCCGTTCTCGATGAAGCCGTGGCTGATGAACTTGGTGGGCCGGCTTCCGTCGAAGTTGGAGGCTAGAAGCGACGTCCTGTCCCCGGGCCGCACGATCTGCCCGTCAGCCGGGCCGCCACGAGTCCGCAGGATGAACTTAATCTGCGGAGAGTTTATAAAGCAATATAAACACGGGTACATGCAGGAAGGTACCAAGTTAGTGTCCGCGTCTGTAACTGCTCTTCGTCGTGACACACCTGCCTCGCTGGCACGCGGCGGCCATCGTTGTATTAGATTTAGAGTGTGCTCACATACGTCGTACAGACGAAGTGCGATCGTAAACTCGGGGCATCATTGGCATATAGTTGTGCAAGTTCAGCTGTCTTTGCAAGTGGTTGGTTCTTACTCTCCAAGCAGAGGTTGGTCGTTACCTTTTTGTATATGGCCGTTTTTTTTTTTTTGTTTCCTTTTTTTTGTTGCTACCCCCACCAACGTCGGTGGCTGGTGACCTTCTCTGGCTAATGGATACTGTCTTTTTTCCACCAAAAAGGGATCTGCTTTGAGATTAGTTGGTTTTGTCACAGCCCGCTTGAAATTCTACGACATGACAATTGTCGACGACCTACGATGAACGTAATGCCAGACCTTTCCACATCTTCAGGCGTTGTTTCAAGCCGATCTGGTGAGGATGCCCCTCACACTGACAAACTAGCTTGCTATTAAGCAAACTTGATGAAACAATATAGGAGACTTTTGAGGTGAGGTATACATATATGCTTACGCCAGAATAAAAGTAACAGGATTGACTGAAAAATTATCCAAGGGCTTCAGAAAGTCACAGAAATTAGTATGCAGGAATCATATCAAACCTGCAGTTCCTCCGGCGCCCGAGGGAGCGATGCTATCGGTCTCTGCAGACTGCCTGACCAGGGGTAGTCCGTGGTGAAACAGCCGAGGTCACCATAACACACATCCGCACCTGCCAGTGTTCAGCGTGGTGTGAATGGCACATTCAAACTTACACATCAGAATCATGCCCGTAGCCAGGATTTTGAATGGGGGGTTCTTCCCACTGCTTGACGGACCAGCGAGCGCCGAAGGCGCGAGGTTCCTGGGGGGGGGGGGTCCGGCGGCCTGCTCCCTCGGGAAAGTTGAACAAATGAACCTTCTGAAATAGCATTTCCTGCCTTTTTAGAGAGCTTTTTACAGATAACTTTTTTCAACGACAAAGTGGGCCATTTTCCTACATTCCAGCCTCGCTGGTGAGACGAATTCGAATCAGTCCATATTTCAAAGAAAAATCTTGGACCTTGAGATTAAAAAAGTGGACGAAAAAATGGATCTTTGAGCCTTGTGAGGGGGGGGGGGTCGTTTCCTGGCTACGGGCATGAAAATGTATGTTTTGGTCTCTACTCAATTGTTTATTAATCGTCAACACCTCTGGAAAAAGCCTTCGTCAGACATTCAGGACCTTCCCACGACTTACTCCCGAACCAAGTTGAGCGCCGGGATAGGGGCATGGAATATATAACTGTCTCGATTTCAACATCTATAATTGGTAGGAGTAGGCGACTTCCAAAGACTAAAACGCATTTTTGAGAATTCATGGCTGTGTTATGTAACAAGATTAGGATGAAATAAAAGACAATTTTCTGACAGCATTTCTTTACAAGGCCAGTTGAATCAACTTGACAAGAAGTGCCCTTCAGGAAGTAGAGGTGCCAAAAATGATGCCTTGCGAGTGTGTTTAACACTTTGCCTGGTGGTATGGCTGTTTTAGCGCCAACCAGAAATATCAGAAATATGTTTTTAAAAGTGGAAGTATATTACAATCACACATTTTTTTTCAATTAAAATATTTCAACTTTCGGTTCCATAACGCCCCTTCAATTTTATAACCCGAACCTGTTACTGGCTCAAACATTTCAAAATCTTCACCCATGTGTGAAAGGCTATAAAACGATTTCCTGATACTGAATAAATTTGAAAATATTTTAGAAAGCCATAAGATAAATCAACAAACGTTTCTTTTCCTTTCTTTAATGTCCCCAAAAACAGACATCCCGGGATTTTCGTTTACAACTATACATTTATAAAATAAAATTAAAAAAAAGAAGTAAATAACTAGAACGCTTACCACGTATCGTTGTGAGGACGCTCGTCATGACAAACAGAGTTTGCAAGATGAAGAAAGCAGCCATCATGTCTGAACCCAGACAGTCTGGTGTTGGGAAATATCTCCTGTTTCACTGAAAACTGCCTCGACCTTACGGCAACGTTAACATGTACCCAGCTTTTATATATACACTATTTATCAAGATTAGTAACCACTGATTGCTTTGTTATTATTTATAGCTGTTTTTGAAGTAAGGTAATATAATGTTATGATAGGAAAGGGTGAAATATGTCTATCGTGAGAATGTAGGGGCTGTGGCTACTTCAAGAGACATTTTTATTGCGCACATTTCTTAATTAGACTGGCTGTAATTTAAGGTTTATCGTAATCAGAGGGCAAATTAAGGGCGGGTGACCTTTACACCCATACAGACAAAACTGAATGACTTATAAGTTATATTACCCCTGATATGTACGTTCTATACAGCCATGTTGTTGTTTCTGTCATAAGGCCACGGAAAGTAATTTTTATGGATGACATCAGCGCGCGTATTAATTTTCGCCTGATTTTGGAAAAAAAAGACAAGAAATTTTGTTGCCAACCAGCATCACATATCATTGCATCAAAGTAAGAAACAAAACATTAAATCAGAGCCTTTTCTTGTCTCCTCTCTTCATAGTTATCTGCCATCCACCTTCCGGCATGGCAACAGGCATCTTT